AAAAAAAAAAAAAAAGTATGACAAACAATCAGGACTCTGTTGTGATGTTGTTGTTGGCTTATATAAGACCTGTCCTTTCATTCGACTGCCTCCTCTCTCGCTTCAGCCTTTTAGAAGGGTACAGGATGTATAATAGAATGTGAATATCTTTTTTCTTTCATTTATTGTGTCCGTGCTACAGCGTGCTGCTTTCAGAAAAGGTCAGAAATGTCTCAGGTGCACCATGAAGATTGTAAACTGGGCCACTTAATTTACCTGATGAATTTTAATACTGTTGCAATTCTAACGTCAGTCATTTTAGTGGCCTTGGATATTGTTTATGTACTTTTCATTATAAAAACAAGAGCCAGCTCTGTAACCTTGGACTATTTTTGTTATTGTTATCAAATTTGACAATGTGACTATGGCCACAGCTCAGTCCAAATTTCCAGTTTTCTAATCTAATCAACAGATTTTTTGGGGACTTCAGGCTTACATTTATGCATTGGCACTTAACTTTTTAACATCTGTTGTCACTTTTCATCTCAAAATGCATATTTTATGTTTTTGTGAAAAAATTATTTACAACTTGTGTTTTCTGCAATTAATAAGATCTTCACAGATAAAGTGTCCCTCAGTAAGTTTGAAAATGTCCGATTCATTGTGATTTTTGCAGTTCACACTGTCATCCGAAAATAGATGTGCATGTGTCACATTTGGAGGGAGAATCAGATTTGGGATGCATTCAGCTTCAGTGTGAATGTAGCTTGTCAGACGTGCTCAGGTGGTGGCCGTACCTGTTTGTCTTGTGCATTCAGCAGTGCTCACTTTTCTTGAGTGCTGTTTAACTCCGAGATGATCGCTAGGTATGTAGGTGGAAGCTACGTACATTCAGTCCAACATTGTGGTGATCAGCTGTGTCCCACAGCCTGTCAATTTTAAGGCTTTGTTTGCTGAAAGCTTTCCATTACGTCAGAGATGCAGGTAGTCATTAGAAATGAGTCACTTGAACTGAGACATTACCAGCTTTATCCTTTGTTGAAGGCAGAGCAGGACTTACAAAAAGCTGGATTTTCTTCTCTCAGCTATCTTTTCAGAAGCTTCTTTTGAAGTCTTTCACCAAGACCAAGAGAAAGAGAACAGATTAAGCCATTCTGGTTAGTTTATGGGCTGATTAATTAGTGGGGCAAAAAATACATTATAAGTCTTATACACTACCAGTCAAAAGTTAATTTTAAACTTTTAAAATTTTAATTAAATTATTTTAAAGGGGTCATGAACTGCCTTTGTTTTTTGTTTTGTACTGTTCTCTAAGGTCCACTTATAATGTTATCAAGATTTTTACATAAAAAAACATCATAATTTAGAAGTAATAGGCTATTTTGCTGTCCTGTCTTTAACCCCCCTCATCAGAACGCTCTGTTTGAATAGGCGTGGCTAAGAGTTGTGTAAATTTGACAGTCTACATCCTTCATAGATGGACGCTGCTGTGATTTAGGTTAAAAACGCATACATACTCACTACATATCAAACAATCTGTAATAACAGACAAAGCAATAGTGATCATGTTATGAAAACAGTTACACTTGTGTGTTGTGACGTTACTGTCGGATCCAATATAATCGGCACAGCATCGTCTTTTAGTTTCAGTCTTTCTGAAAATCCTGTTTTGAATTGTGCCTTGTTATTGACTTGATCTGGCACTTCATTAAAAATAAAGCTCTTTAAATACAGTTTTTCGTTTGGTTTCTGCGTAGACCTTCATTTGCCGCTCTTGTCATTTACCTACTCTATGCCCGAATCAGTGGGCGGGGCTAAACAGGCAGCGATGTAGAAGCAGGCGTTGATCTTCTTCTGCAGAGGCGGGGTTTATCCACACTATTACATCATAGAGTAGAACATTCCACAAGCTGTGGTTTTGGCAGACTGGCTTCAATATAAGCTGCTTTTAGACTAACAAGAACGTTTTGAGTTCTGAAACTTACAGAATGTTTTTATAGCACAACGACCTCTTACATGTCAAAAGATCAAGGGAATTTTGGTTTCTCAGTTGACCCCTTTAATATTAATATACAATTATTATTTATGTTTCACTTTAAATTATTGTTTGATGTTTTTTATTATTTATTTATTGTTTTTTTGTTGTTGTTGCATTTTTTATTTATTTATTGGGATAAACCCTGGTTACACTTTATTTTGATAGTCCACTTTAGACATTCTACTAACTATAAGTAACTTTGCAACTACATGTCAACTAATTCTCATTAATTTGCAACTACATGTCTACTAACTCTCAGAGTAGACTGTTAGGGTAGGTTTAGGGTTAGTAGAATAAGTTGACATATACTTGCAAAGTTTCTCATAGTCAGTATGCTGTATGTTGTGGACCCATCAAAATAAAGTGGTAGAAGATAATAAGCAGACAGTCTACTAATACTCTAATGACTGCTAGTTGACATGTAGCTGCAAAGTCACTTACTGTTAGTAGAATGTCTAAATTGGACTATCAAAATAAAGTGTTACCTAAACCCTTTGTAGTCTCACATAGACAGACCTTCAGACTGACTGCAGAAGGTCTGGACTCCATCGTAGCTTTCATTGGTCAAGGACCGCCCAAGAGGCAGTCTGACCAACATGTAAAGCAACCAATCACAGTTTGTTTTTATTTAGGAGCATGAAAATATAAAGTCAATGTCTCTATAATAACAGACCGGCAAATTATTCATTCAAGAATGTCATGAAAGTTTACTGTAACAATGCCGCAGAGTCTATGTCGTAAACTTCACATTCTTTTGAAAATTCTGCGTTTAGCTCATCCTGAGAAGCGATTATTGTCACAGTTGTAAACACGATGGCTTTCTTCTTACATGAGGGGATTTGGCATCACGTTGGCTTTGTTTCGCAAATGCCTCCCGAAAATCCTGTAGAATTTAACCAATGAGATGATGACGTCGAAACTCCCGAAGTATTTCCCATTTTGCTTGTCATATACATCAAACATTCAACCAATGGTCCATGGGCATGACATCTGAGGCTGAGACTAAACCCTTTGAGTTGTACTAAGGGTACATGCATATATTTGACTAGCAGTGTAGCTGATCAGAGAAGTCACAATAGGACGGGGGTGTCCAGTCCTGCTCCTGGAGGGCCACTTTCCTGAAGAGCTTAGCTCTAACACACCTGCCTGGAGGCTTCTAGCGATCCTGAAGACCTTGATTAGCTGGTTCAAATGCGTTTGATCAGGGTCAGAGCTAAACTCTGCTGGATAGTGGCCCTCCAGGATCAGGTATGTACACTCCTGCATTAGGATGTTATAGAAGTCTAACATACAGTATGTACTTTCCTCTAGTTCCTACAGCTCCCCCTCAGGGTGTGGCGGTCAAGGCAGTAAACTCAACCACAATTGAATTTACCTGGAATCCACCACCTCAACAGTTCATCAATGGCATTAATCAAGGCTACAAGGTAAACTCAATTCTCCTCTACTGGTTCCCATTGAGTCCCTGTTATATACAGAAAATATGATATGTTTTGTGTTGGTCTGTGCCTCAGCTGATGGCGTGGCCTGAACGATCTCCAGAGAATGTTATCATCGTGACCATCACCCCTGATTATCACGGGACACGCCACCTCGGTTACATCAGCGGCCTAAAAAAGTTCACCTGGTACTTGACGTCAGTGCTGTGTTTTACCACACCAGGGAATGGACCCCGCAGTGTCCCCAAACTGGTGCAGACTCACGAGGACAGTAAGTAATAGACTGTTAGTCTGTCAGTCCATACTCTAGGTCATAAGGTTGTGTTTCTGTCTCTCACTGAATCATATTATTTAATAAAATTGCTGCTCAGAATCTGATTGATTGGATTTATATAAATTGTGTCTGTCACAAAACAAGCACAATTAAAAATGTGGGGGGGGGAAATCACAAGAACCCTTGTTTATGAAAAACAGGCAGAACAAATGTGCAAATCATCTGTGAAAACGTCTCGGTTACGTATGGTGTGATCAGCAGCAGCTGGATGCAATAATCGCATGCCAATGTGCATTGGCTCGTTTAGTTTACACTCGAAGTGGATTGGTCTCTCTAAGCGAGATCCCAATTTCGTCGGTCATCCGACGTGACGTCGAGTGTGACCGACTGAAAGGGAACATTTGTACATAAATAGTCATATTTAGTTAAAAAGAACAGTTACATAAAATTGGATTTAGAAATTATTTACCCAAAATTATTCTTGTTCTTCATGAGTAATTCCGGTTGTACCTTTATGACAGATGCTGTTTTAAAGAGAAATTACCCAATGAGCTGTGCTGTTTGACACAAAATGCACTGAAAAACATTTCTATAATCATATTTATAGTATATATAGGTGTGTGTTTGTTCTGGTATATATGGTTTATGAGGACACACATGTGTATAATGACGTGGGAACTACAATGTAAACATGGTTTATGAGGACACTTCATGTGTCCCTGTAAACCAAATGGATTAAAAATAACATACTAAACTGTTGTTGTTGTTGTTTTTTGCCAGTAGTTTTTTGTAACGGGTAGGTGTATGGTTAGAATAAGGGGATAGAAAATACAGTTTGTACAGTACAAAAAACATTGTCTATGGAAAGTCCCCATAAAACATGACGTTATGGGGACAAAATGTTCCCACAAAGATGGCAATATCTGAAACCCTTGTCCTTGTGGGGACATTTTTTTGGTCCCCATGAGGAAACAAGCTTATAAATTGTTTTTTTTAATCTAAAAATGCAGAAGGAGGGGTAGGTTTAGGTGTAGGGCGATAGAAAATACAGATTGTACAATATAAAAACCATTACGCCCAATGGAATGTCCCCATAAAACATGGAAACCCAACTGTGTGTGTGTGTGTGTGATTTTAAAAAACACAACAGCCTCAAAATGGAATTTACCACAGTCATGAATATTTACTGTTATTGCAAAACCGATGAAGCACCTGTTGCATGAACTTTTTAAATCAGTTTTAATGGAGGCTTCAAAGATAATTAAGTTAAACAAAATACTAGTTCAGAACAAAATGTTTATCTTAATTACTGAGAAAGCCAAACCACAAAAAAACGCTCTTTGGTTGGCAGGAAATATTTAATATATGTAGCTTACTGCCAGCTTTTGGCCTTTACATCAGCTTCATGACACAGTGTTCTTGCTCTGAAACTCTACTGGGGTAGTTTGGAGGTGATAAAATACCAAATTACAAAATGTCTTATAAAAGTCACATTAATTAAAGTACTTTTTCAGACTTAAGTACAAATACTGCTCTGTGGGTCAAGCCGATGTAATTATATCAATGTCTTTAGGCATGCGACACTACAAGTGAGAAATTAGTTGGGGTACTTTAGGAGGAATGTTAGTGAGAAAAAAAATGAATGAAATGAAAAAGCAACAATGTTTGTGTATGTGTTAGGTTTTGATATCATTGGGATCTTTGTTGTGATTCATTATAAAGGGACTGAATAATGCTTTATTTCACATGTTTGATCATTAGAGTTTGGATTAGTCTAATCAGCCCAATTAGCTACAGTAGAAAGAGCTTAGAAACAAAAGGAAGAATGCAACCAGGAAATGTCTGTGTGTTTAGTTCCAGGCCCTGTTGGTCGCTTGAGCTTTACAGAGATTTTGGACACGTCTCTGAGAGTGAGCTGGGAGGAACCAGTGGACAAGAACGGCATCGTTACTGGTGAGTGTTTTTGACCTTTATGCTGCTTTCATTTATATGAATCTGTAGAAAAACTGGAAATTATGAGCAGACATGTCACAATAATAAAGGAAAGCACTTATATTTTGCAGCAACAAATCTGAATGAGTTTATTTGCACCAGCATTTGCAAAACTCAGTTTAATTGTTCATTAGATTTGTCTTTGCTGTTAAATGAAATCTAATCTGCCCCCCTCTGTTTAAATGTAGCTGAACGTTGCATTATACAGAGCAGGTGAGCCCGTAAAGGAGCTCCATTTTCATTTGCCAACTCTTGGGTGTTCGTATAGCTTTATTAATGGATACACTTCTATTTAACACTTCATTGAGTTTTTGCACAAAGGCAATTATGGCATCGTTGTATGCGTTCAGTTGGCAGAAACAATTTTCGCTCCCTGTTGCACAGCTGTAAAGGATGCTTTTGTGATTGTGTGTGTGGGGGTGGGGCACAGATGCATGTGTTTTAGTATTCCGGGAGTTCTATTTATCCATCTTGTGCTGGACTCATTACCACAAGGAACAGAGAACGCAAACAGATCAAAATAAAAGAAATGTTAACCGTGATCAAAAGATCTGTAAGCATGAGTTGACAATCCAGCATAAGACAAGAACATGAGCGTGAATCTCACGAAACCTGTTAAGAACACTTCCAGGTCATATTTTACCCCAAAATCAAGAAGATTTTGCTTTTGAAAAATGAAGACTTTTTAGAGCAATGAGTATTTTTGCACTGTGAAATTATTTTAAAGAGAATTAAGCACATTTCCCACCAAGTTATCATTACTGTAATAAACAAGCAAATAAATAAATCATTCTCATTAAAGTAATCCAAAAACATGTATTTTTATTTTAAATAAATGCTGTTCTTTTGAACTTTCTATTTATCAAATAATCCTGAAAAAATGTATCACTGTTTCCACAAAAATATTAAGCAGCACAAGGATGATGTGACACTGAAAATTCAGCTTTGCCATCACAGGAATAAATAGCATAAATAAATGTATTTATAATATTTTGCAACTGTTTTAAAAACATTTAAAAACCCGAAACTTAGAATGTTTTTTTAATAATACTGTAAAAATGAGAATCTAGTGAAAATTGATCTTTGAGGATTATGAAAATTAGATAAAAAAGGATGGCAATGAGAAGACATTACTGTAAATAAATAGTGAGTAGAATATTTCTACAATGTCCAAAAATGGCTGAACCAACAATTGTCATGTAAATAATGTCAAAACTAAGTCTTAAAAATACATGGGTTTAGTTTATGTATGCAAAATATCATTTATTTTCTTTTTCATTTCTTTGTTTTGGCTTGAAATGTGACCAGAACAACACATTTTCATGAGTCACTCATGACATCTCAATAATGCAGAGAAAGAATTAGATGTGGACTAACGAGGCAGCAGTAGATTGATACTAGACATAGATTAAGCCGAGTGAGTTGCGGAACGGCGCTGGATGTAGATCGAGAGTTTGGAGACGAATGAGATCAGACATACATTAGACTAAATAGCTCCTGTCTATATCAATGTACACAGCATTGTTGTTGAATGTTGCCTATGCCTGTTCTCCAGCGAGCTCTCCCAGCGCAAAGCTTGATTTATGAGCGCCTCAATGGAAAAGGACATTCAGCGATTGGAAACAGTGCTGACTCTGGGAGAAAATACTCCCAATAAACAGCAAATTACATAGGATCTCTGCTGGCTATTAGTCTCAGTTAGATGCGGGTTAGGGGGCAGAGTCCTGGGTCTAGACAACTCACTACAGCAGTTCCCCATTTCACCCACCTTGTTTGTTAAAGAGAGATTGTTTATTTCAAGTTCAAGACCTCAGAAAAATTCCTCAAATTGACCCGTTCCCACGGGTTTTGTGCTGTAAAGTGTGTAAAACTCAAATTACTTTCCAAGTTTTAATGAATGTGATGGTGTTTTGCAGGTTACCTGGTGTCCTGGGAAGTTCAGGGGAAGAACCAATCGCGAGTGGCACGTACTTTGACCAACTCCACGTTGGACTACAAGGTCACCGGTCTGACATCCCTCACTACGTACACGCTAGAAGTGGCAGCTATGACGGAGGCGGGCGTAGGAACTCTAACTTCCTCCACCATTTCATCTGGAGTGCCACCAGGTCTGTCGTAGCTTTTAAACATAGACAATTAAAAATAAAACCTGCATTACAGGAGCTACTCTTCCTTATTTCTGCATGAATATTGTACACAAGCAATATAAGAATGAGTGATGATCTTTTATGCTGGTCTTTTTTTGCTCAGAAACTGCGAAGTTGGTGCCTGTGTGCTTTCTCTCACTGAAAGAAGGCAAATGCTGAACTGGCTGAACGCCAAGCCAAAACCATAATGCCTGCTGATAAATTGCATATTATGAGACATTAGGGAAACAGACGTCTACATATCTCAAAGGGAATTTCAGGCAGCTGCGAGACTATCGTTCCAGTGTAATTTCATCAAAGGTTTCTCGAAGCAAATGAGACTTTTTATCTCTGCACTTCAAAAGAATCGCAAATCTCTTTTTTTGACTCAGTCCCTCGTGCAACATGGATCTACACAGTGTTATTAAAAATATTCCGGTCAAGATTTCGAAATGTGTAGTGTTGTTGACTTTAGAAGGCATGCTTGTGGATGTTTTGTGGTTATTGATTGTTGTGATGTGTGGATGTTGTTTAGAAGTAACTTTTAACTTTTGCTTCGTTTCGGTTTCACGCAGAACTTCCCGGGCCTCCATCAAATTTGGTTATTTCCAAGATCAGTTCACGATCTGCTACTCTGAAGTTCCGCGCAGGGGATGATGGGAAGACGACCATCTCCAAGTGGATTGTTGAGGGGCAGGTGAGTCATATTTCAGTTCTTCTTTATCCGATCGTTATCTGCCTACCATCACGCTGGCCTGAAGCTATACATCCTCACAGTGCTCCCTGATGAGTCTTCACTAGCAAATAAAAATTTACATGATAATGAAACGTCCCTGCAGTGTTGAGTCAAGTACTTATGGTGATTTGTGTAGACTTTGTCTCCTAATCCTGGGAATGTGCATTCCAGTTATTTTGACAGCTTGATGGATAAATCAGTCGAGTTCTGGAGGATTTAAGGTGGGACAGTGAGGCAAAAAATGTCTGTGCTATTTTTATTTAAAAAACATTTTTTAAATGGCTGTTGCAATGTATCTCACAAAAAATGAAATGAGTTCTTCTTATCTTGTTGACTTTGTCGATCAACAAGATTTTCGGCTGTTGAAATGTGTCTCAAATAAAATAAAATAAAATAGTTCTTGAGGGGGACAGTGGAGCAAAAAATATCTGCAATATTTTTATTTGTACAGTAGGTTACTGAACAAAATTTTGACTGTTGTATCATGTCTCGTTAAAAATAATTAATTCATAAATAAGTAAATAAATAAATAAACAGGCAAACTAATCAAGTTCTGAAGGATTTAAAGTGGGACAGTGGAGCAAAACATATCTGTGCTATTTTTATTTAAATATTTTAAAAATGTCTGTTGCATTGTATCTCACAAAAAAAAGAAATTAATGAAACAAACAAATAAAACAAACTAGAGTTCTTCTTCCGTCTTGATTGGTCAATTAGCTGTAATGTGTCTCAAATAAAATAAAATAAAAAAGTTATTGAGGGTTAAAAGTGGGACAGTGGAGCACACACAAAGGTTTTTGCCTGTTGTGTCATGTTTAAGAAATAAAATAAAATAAAACAGCTTCTTGAGGATTCAGAGTGGGGCAGTGGAGCAAAAACAATTTCTGCAATATTTTTATTTGTACAAAATTTTTGACTGTTGTATCAAAAATAATACTCAAGTAAAGTACAGATACTCAAAAAGTGTACTTAAGTACAATACTCAAGTAAATGTACTTAGTTCCTGTCCGCATCTGATCATGTCTCACTAAAAAAATTATAAATAAGTAAATAAACTAACTAATCAAGCTCTTGAGGATTTAAGGTGGGATTGTGGAGCAAGAAAATCTTTGCAATTTTTATTTGTTGGTCAATGTATTTTGTTATTTTATCATGTTATTTTGTGTCACAATAAAGAAATGAATGAATGAATGAATGAATGAAAATGTTAGCTCATAATCTCAGTTTGATTCAGCCAATCTGCTCATCAGTTTAGTATACTTAAGGTTACACCGTGCTTATTTGGTAGTGTTTAAGCACTCAAACCTACATCCAGCTGTCATCACAAGGCTTTAAAAACAGCCAGCATGCAGACTTATCACACATACTCGATTCACTTCCACTCAGCACTTCCTTTTAAACCTGAATAACAGCAAGTTCCAGTTGTGATTGCCCTCCATGGCTCAGAGATGTATTGAGAGCGCATCCTCGCCCTTTCCACATCGCCTGCGACTCTTGCAAAAGTGATGACAGATTGAATCACATGACTGACTCCTAATTTGTAATCGACATCAACTCTCTGAACTTGACGGCGCCGGGCCGGAGCTTGCGAAAGGAAGCTTCTGCTTTTCATGTGGCGGCACTTGAATTCCAGAGTTGATTGAGGCCGGGCTATCTGCCGCTGCAGAAATCTGTCACCGAGCGAGAGAGAGCCCCTGCATACGCACCAGCTATGAAATACAACGGCAGTCTCCAGCATAAGGTGCCACGCGTCCAACATCTATCACGTTGGCATAAATGCTTACCGCATACAGTACACTCCACTGGTCATAGTAAATCTTCCTGAGTGCTATGAGCTTTGATTGGTTTAGACTTGGCTCGCACAATGTGTTTGAAATGGGGCAGTGGCTGGCACTGTCCTGGACTCAATTGAAAAAGCTTTAACCTGCTCCGCTCTGCATTCCCACTGAAGGCCCGTTCCCTACAAAACACTCTAAGAGCCTTTGGCCTGTGACGTACCGGATATAATGAAGTGCAGTGTGGGGATTTTTCTTCTCCTTCTTTCATTTACTTTGCTGCTTGGACTCTGCACTCGACAAATACTGAGAGATACCGTTCTCAAAAGGGGCTGAAAAATGGCTCTTTTCAGATGTTTGGAAATGCCTCATGTAGCCAGACTACTGCCATAAAGTCCACTGTTTATTCTGGTGAAGAATCAACCATCTGGCTGATACATAAAATGACAAACCGCTTTTACTTTGTGACATTTTTAGGGTGTATATCTCATTTACAGACTAAGTCTTATAGATTTTGTAGTGCTTTTGTAGCAGCACTTGAACTTATAAACATGATTTTGTGTTCTGGTGATAAATGAAGGAATATTGATTTGCAGTTTTCATCTGATAGTCTGTAGGATTTTTTAAAATCTATTTATAGGATGGTCAAAGTTAATGTATAAAATTAAAATATTAAATTTGTTTAATCAAGTATTTTTTAAATGCTTCACTGATATTTATTGTGAAAAGTAAACACATTTGAAATAAACTGAAAATCTTTCTCTTCAGATTTATTTCCCTGTCATTACTCTATTAGTGGGTAGAAAAAAATGATACTAAGTAAATATCTTCCAGATAATGTTTTAATAGTTTGTTTTGGGTTTAGTACAGTGACAGCCAATTATTTAATTTTGCAAACAACATCTTATCTTTATAATAATATAATAATAATACTGTATCTAAATAATACCAAAATAATTGTCTTTTTCTAAAGTCGTATGACTGTAATAGCAGAAGAATAAATGTGAAGAGTAATATTTTTTTAATTATTTCAGATGTGTTTGCTTTTCACTATAAATTCCGTTTTTAAAAAATTACTTCATTAAATATATTTAATGCATATTTTAAGTTAGTACATTAACTTTCACCCTTAACATTTGTGTGAATGGGTCTGTTTTATAGAAAATAATATAGATGCCTTCGTTTTTTAAAGGGTCATGAACTGAGAAACCAAAATTCCCTTGATCTTTTGACATGTAAGAGGTCGTTGTGCTATAAAAACCATTCTGTAAGTTTCAGAACTCAAAATGTTCCGGTTAGTCTAAAAGCAGCTTATATTGAAGCCAGTCTGCCGAAACGACAGCTTCTGGAATGTTCTACTCTATGATGTAATAGTGTGGATAAACCCCACCTCTGCAGAAGAAGATCAACGCCTGCTTCTACATCGCTGCCTGTTTAGCCCCGCCCACTGATTCACGCATGTAGTGTTTACAAGAGAGGCGAATGCGCAGGTCTACGCAGAAACCAAACAATAAAAATGCTCTGATGATGACAACAAGACGCTGTGCAGTGCCAAGCTGGGAAAGAACTGTCTTTGCATTGCCTTCCTTCTGATCCCATATTTTTAATGAAGATCCAGATCGCATCATTAAGAACTTGGTCCTTTGTTCACTTCATTTTACCGCGGATTCGTTTACAAACGAGGCACAATTCGACGCGGGATTTTCATAAAGATTGAAACTAAAAGACGATTGTGTGCTGACTATATTTGGATCCGACAGTAATGTCACAACACACAAGTGTGAGTAACTGTTTTCATAACATGATCACTATTGCTTTGTCTGTTATTACCATAGACTGTATAAAAACATGGACGTAGTGTCCGTGACGTAACCCGTAGACTTCCAACGAGCGTTTTGAAGCCTAAAGTAGGCGGAGCCAGCCGTCGCCATCTTGGCAGCGCGTCACTCCCGGATAATCGAAAGATCCCATCTTTTTAATGAAGATCCAGATCGCATCATTAAGAACTTGGTCCTTTGTTCACTTCATTTTACCGCGGATTCGTTTACAAACGAGGCACAATTCGACGCGGGATTTTCATAAAGATTGAAACTAAAAGACGATTGTGTGCTGACTATATTTGGATCCGACAGTAATGTCACAACACACAAGTGTGAGTAACTGTTTTCATAACATGATCACTATTGCTTTGTCTGTTATTACCATAGACTGTATAAAAACATGGACGTAGTGTCCGTGACGTAACCCGTAGACTTCCAACGAGCGTCCCCCCTCAGTTGTCATGAAGGGCAAAATTAGCTATATAGACCAAAATCATTTTTTGAACCAGGCTGTAAACATGTTTTTTTCTGCTGTAAAGTTGGGCATTTTAACATGGGGAGTCTATGGGATTGACTCCCTTTTGCAGCCAGCCTCTAGCGGCCAGTTGATGAATTACAGTTTAAGTCACTTCCTTGTTGGCTTCACCAGAGAGCGCGGGAGGTTGCCGCTCGGTTATTACAGATTGTTTGAAATGTACTGAGTATTTATGCGTTTTTAACGTACTGTAAATCACTGCAGCGTCCATCTATGAAGGATGTAGGCTGTCAAACTTACACAACTCTTAGCCAATCATAGCAGTGGGCGTTTACTTCTGTTCTGAGTCTACAATCTGCCACACCTGTTCAAACAGAGCGTTCTGATGAGGGGGGTTAAAACAGGACAGAAAATAGTTACTTCTGAATTATTGTTTTTTGATGTAAAAATCTTGATAACATTATAAGTGGTCCTCAGAGAACAGTACAAAATTATTTTAAAAAAGGCAGTTCATGACCACTTTAATACATCCTTCACGAGGGGATCATCATATGTAGGGGTCATTGGTATTGTTGGCACAGACTGAACAGCAGGGCTCTCTGTCTTCAGGTGGGCAGTATCGGTGAAGAGGAAGAGTGGAAGGTGTTGTACGAGAAAGAGAATGACCCTGAAGCTCAGGTGCTGGAGGTGCCCAATCTCACACCGTTCACACACTACAGGTCAGCGCTGTTTCACTACAAACACACATTAACTGCATTAACACAGAAATTGCCATGTAAACAGCATTTTCATTTACTTTAATCTGAATAAATACACATTTTAAGTGAGCCTAATCAAATGAAGAAAAATGTAGATTACTCCAATTACAGTTGCATTACTGAAGACACGTATACACCTTAATCAGATTATGATTCTGTGCCTGCATAAACAAATCGAACGGTTCACAGTTCAAGTCAGCACACTATGGCAATGTTTTCGCTTCTGTGTTTATGCCTCTGATCTTGTTATTTTCTGCTTCTTTCCCTGAGGATGCCGTTAATTCATTCCTTTCTTCTTTCTTGTTCTTTCTGATCTTGACGTCTTTGTCTTATGCTAAAAAAAAAAGACAATTGAACCTAGATTAGCTACAGAATTGCTGAGACATAGTGTGTGCATGAAATCTATTTACACACAGAAAACACTTTATTTTATGCATGGACTTCAGAATTCACTACACACTGCAAGTTCTGCGAGTGACGGTCGCATCTGAATGATAGCTCTGTGTGTGTACAGAATACAACACAGTGAAAAATCACTCTAGAACATGTGATGGTTGACATAGTGATAACCATAGCTGCAATATAGCATATGGCATCTTGTGGATATAAATAACAAACATGGACGCCAACCTGTTTGGTGTTGATTCTGCCAAAAAGAAATAATAGAGACTAGAGCTAAAATAGTATCAAAATGTATATATTTGCGAAATGTGATTCAAGTTTGTTTGCACATTTCTGAATGAATATATATATATATATATATATATATATTCCAAAGCCTGTTTCAATATACTTAATTATTAATAATTAATTGTAGTTAATTATTTAAAACATATTACTTAGCACGCTTACATAGACCAACTATTACGAAAATAGTGCTATTCAGTGCTATACTTTATGTGTCTGCCATAATAGTCATTTTTGAATTAGAGGCCTGCAAGCCCGTCGAGTCCACATTACATACAAAACTGAACTATTTTAATAGCTGAAACAGTAATATAAGCTATTTTGGGAGAAGGGGGGGAAAAAAAGACGGGCTCAGGTCGGACTCGGGCCAAGACTTCTGATGAGCTGTCGGACACGGGCCGGGCTAGGGCCTGAGCGTCTCGGGCCAGGGCCAGGCTAGGGCCTATATTTGAGGCCCGTGCAGGGCTCTACTTTGAATCTTCATTTGGGGAATTTTCAAAAAAAATATGAATATATGGAATTAATTGTGCTTTATTTGAATAATCAGGTAATATAATTTATTTAATTAAATCTTTTAATCTATTGACATCCCTTATTTCAAATGCTCTATGCCAGAATTTGCTACAAATCTACTATTCACCATATAAAAATTAGATTTTGTAAAATTGTACCTATGTACCGTTTGATACATTTGTCACACGTAAACTGTTTAATTTGAATATTGTCTTATTTACGGTGCGTCAATAATCAGACTATTTCATTTGGTGAGTATGAAGATATTGCTGTTATCTAAACAGGTTTAATGTCTGACTTCATCCGTTTGTTTCAGACAGCTTGAATCATCTCTGAGCTACATGATGAACTGCTTGCCTCCGTGTTTTTCTCTACCCTGCAATTTATGTCAGATCTTATGGATGTTATCGCAGCCTCTGCATTTGTTCTGCTCACTGATAAACTTTGATTTCATGGTAATTGGTGCAATTATAAAGTGAACTGCAGCGAGCACATGCCCCGCACAGGGTTCCTCACAAACTCTATACTGCCATATACTTTCCCACTGGAAAGTCTGACCAGTGTTAAGTTTTAGCGAAGTGACTGATTAACTTGGTGGTTACAGGTTCCGAATGTGTCAGGTGAATATCATGGGCCCGAGTCCAGTGAGCGTGCCGTCCCGTGTAATTCAAACCCTGCAGGCTCCTCCAGACAAGGCGCCCAGCAGTGTGACGGTGCGCACTGCCAGTGAGACCAGCCTCTGGCTACGCTGGGTGGTAAGTGCCATTGTTATTAAAAATCTTGGCTGTAGATTGTAAGTTCAAACCTCCATAAGGGAATTTATCACCATTCATTGCTACAGTATCATCATTGTGTCCCTGAGTAAACAACATAACCTCTGTTTGCTCCAGAGGGCTGTATAGTAAAACTATACTCATCAAATGAAGTGTTTCATTAACATGTCTGTGACTTTTATCAATCAAATTGTTGCTATTATATAAGACATTTCAAAGATTAATAGATATAATTCCGCAGATTCGTATTAGATATCTCTGAGAAATATGAAGTAAGCCAAGTGCATTATATTCAATTGAGTTCATTCAATAATTCAGGGTCTTGCTTCATTTTTTGTTTCTTAATAAAAAAAGGATTCAAGGAAACTATTACCTTGTAACTTTCAGTCCTAGTGTTCTGACACATGAATACAAGCTAGGATGTTGAAAGCAGGGTGTTTTAGACATCTGTTGATTCTCACCTGATATAAAGACTGCTGACATGTGAGAGCTACTGCCTAAATTGAGTTTCTCAAATTGAAGCTCTTTACCTGTCAAATTAAAAGCACATGAGAGCTGATGTTTTGCCAGTTTGTGACATCTCACTTATCTTTTGGCACCCAATCAAAATCGTTCAGTTGATTTTTGGGGGGGCACGTAAATGATGTAGCATTATTAAATATGCGTATTAAATATAAATATGAGATTTATAGGAGCATGTATATTTAATTGGGTTAGGCCGAGCTCAGCTGGCTTGCTTTAGCTATGTTCAGGACTCTGCTGGGGCTGTGTGTTATAGAGGCCGCACGGTTTATTTTTACACTGTTTTTTTCTTTGGTTTTGCCTAATGAAAAAAGTTTTATAAATTTAGTCTGTATTTCTTCATGTTCTTTATTTTTAGTCCATTTTACCCTGAAGGGCATATAGTTTTAGTCAAGGAAAATAATATTTTGAAGGTTGAAGATACTGCTCAGAATCAGTGTTAATTTTGACAGGCATTTTTGATTTAGTCTTAGTCTTTATCTTGAGACGAAAATGCTTAATAGTCTTAGTCACATTTTAGTCATTTGAGTCCTTTCATAGTTTTAGTCGACGAAAAGTCATTGCATTTTTGTCAGCTTTTAGACATTACTTTTAGTCAAACTGCAGTTACCAACATTTATTTTGGTAGCTATTTTATATGTAGATTCAAATATTGTGACAAAATTAATTTTGTAGGGTGCCACAAGTTTGTTAAAATTTCCAAAAGGTGCCGCGACTAAAAAAAGGTTGGGAAACACTGCTCTACACGATAGACATTTGGACTGCTGTGTGTGTATTTGAGCACTGAGAACTGATCCCGTGCTGTGTATGAGAACTGAAGAAGTGGATCGTGCGCGTGAGAGAGCACTTCTATCAGCGCGATTCAGCCTATCCCGCCTTCACCAACTTTAAGTTAATCGACAATGAATTGTGACGTCTGGTCACCTTATCCCTACCCCTTCGGGTGCTGAGGCCATTGTTTCAGATCGCTAGTTAGCATTTTGGGAGTCTATCCATCCACTGCGGCTGCCATACTGAGACTAGAAATGCAAACGCCCCTTAACCGATTGCAATCCAATGACAGGGACGCACATTTTGAAGGACAAGACAGTAGCCTATAGGGTGTATTTTGAACGTCCGGTAGTCTTCAAATAACATTATAGTCCCGTCTCGTCTTGTTAACGAAGACGCGGCATAAATTTCATCATAGTTTTTATCATCAGATATTAGTT